CAGTCATTCTCAGCCCCAAATATCAGGCGTGGGTGACAAGTCGGTTGGTCAATTCCTGTTGCAATCAATGGATCAACATTTGGTTGATCTGGAAAAAAAGCAGACCTTGCACTTGCAGGAAAAATGCTAGGAAGAAAAAAAAATTAAATTTCAAACTTTAGAGCATCTAAGCACTAGAACAATTATCTTTATCTAAACACACACACACACACACACACACATACACACGGAGGAATTCAGAATTATTAAACCAGGATATGGATAGGAAAGGTAATTTTAAAACATAGGCATTTTTAGGGTTTCCTATCCAAAGAAAACTGTATATACTCAAGGGCCCAGAATAAGACTAGAAAGCCCAATATTACTGGTATTTACTCATTACTATTAGTATGAGTAAAGTTTTACTGGACACCATTTCATTCAATAAATATACAGACTGGCAGATGGATTACAAAGCATCTATAACTACAGAAGCATCATTACCTGCTTATTCTTCAAGAAGTTCAACAGAGGAGTTGTCTTTTTTGCTAAGGAGTGAAAAAATAAAGTGTCTGTATTTGTAAAAGGCATATATTGAAATTAATGCATAAAAAATTACCAAAATAAATAGATATAATGTATTTCTCTATATAACATGGTTGCAAAGAGGATTTTAGAAGCTTTAATTTCTGCATTAGTTGCAATTAATTATGTCAGATTCTGGACGAACAGCAGTTATGAATTTGTTGAGTATGCTGTATTATAGTGGTTTTCATACCTATTAATTCTTTATTTCTTGCCTCTATTTCTTCTAGTAAAGTCTCAGGTGTAGATGTTAATTTTTCATCATCAGCACTGTAGCTTTCTAAAAACTTCTTATATTCTGGATCTAATGAAGAATCGTAATATACAGATTATAAATAAACAGGCTTAAAAAAAGATAAGTAGAAAATTATAAAGTCTATAATAATAGTCAGTCTGTAGTTGTGTTAGATATATGATCTCTAAGATTTAATGTTCTGTGATCCACAGCAACAACTTATGTGGCAAAGCTTGCATTACTGCATTCATGTTAAATGATATAATATTCTTTTCCTGAGACCAGATCAACCACGGGACAGATGGTCTCAAAGGGACACCCAGCAGACAATTCAGAAGAATATTTATTTGGTGGTAACAAAAGGCACTGAAACTTGAAAAGAATAAAAGGGACAGAGTCCTGCTATATGGTTTATTCACTGACATAGTCAAACTAACCTTGCTCCCATTAGGAAGCACGAAGCCACACTGGAACTGATCACGAGAACTCCCTCATCCAGAAATTTTAGAAACTGGGTATACCAGGCACTGCAGCCAGAGATTCTCAAGCTCCCTTGGTTAAAATTAGTTATAAAAGGTAACACAGCACACTGCTACTACTACTACTACTAACCATCATCAATGGTTCCAGCTTTGGCATCCTTTTTCTTACTCTTCTTTTTGGCAGCTTTTTGAAACGGGGCAAATTCCACTATGGCAGGATATTCAAGACCTGTTTATATGTACAAATACTTTTTAAAAAGAACTGGGTTAGGAAAGGAATCAATGGCTTTTAGTTGCACTGAATACATTTCCAAAGTACAGGTAGCCCTTGGTTAATGACAGTAATTGGGACTGAAATTTCCATCACTAAACAATGTGGTCATAAAGCATGTCATGTGACCGCAGTGCTTAGTGATCGCAATCCCAGCAGCCCCACTGGTTGTTAGGCAAGGACCCACCCCCTTCCAAGCCATTCCCAGCTTGGTCCCTCCTAGCCCCAAGCCTTGGTAAAGTAAGGGACTCCCTCTTCTTGAATTCCCCCCACCTGCCTATTTCCCCTCCATCTCTGCCCTTTTGGCCGGCCTGCACAGCAGAACTCCTTGGCAGCGGCGGTGGGGCTGAGGTAGAGGCCCAGGGCCTTCAGCACTCTCAGCTGGCTGCTACCACCCCTGGGCCTCTACTTCAGCCCTACTGCCACCAGTGCTGCCCCTGCTGCCAAGGAGTGGTGCTTCATGCCCCACGCTACAGCCAGCCACCCCAGTAGCAAGCCCCTGCTGCTCTGCAGGCCCTGCCAACCCCAGCTGACCTTCGCCTTTGAAAGCTTGCAAGAGGGCACGTGCGGCCTTCAAAGTATCACAAGAAGGCAATGTGTGATTTGGAGACAGGTGTGTGCAGCCTCAGAAAGAAGGCCTGGCACAGCCAGAAGCTGCCTTGCATATGGCCAAGCAAGGCGCACTTCAGCAGCAGCAGGAGGAAGATGATGATGAAGGTCAGCTGGGAATGACAGGGCCTGCGGAGTGTAGTATGACGGGGCATCTGGGGCTTTGTGCTGGGGTGGCTGGCTATGGTGTGAGGCTTGAGGCAGCACTTCTCCGCAGCACTGGGGCTGAAGTACCATTTGTTCAGTACCACTGTAACTCTGAACAGTTGCTGAATGAATGGTCATTAACCGAGGACTACCTGTAAACTCAAACCAAATTGAGTAAAAGATAAATTTCACAAAAGACGTTCCATATCATATGAGCTGTCTCGTCCAGTGTTCTCATCAGCAGCGGGAAAAAAGACTATTTGAAATGCATTGCACTGAGCACATGAGTGCTTAATTCACATGGGTAGGAACTACATTATGCAAACTAGCTATAAAACCACAGTATATTTTTAGTTATTTTATGATGATTTTATAATATAGAGGCCACTGGTGAGATAATACAAATGCATACATTTATAGATGGGTGTTTGGGCTTACTGAATAAATGCTTTTGAACAACAATGACTAACCTAACATAAATGATTCATAAAGTAATTTTGGCTACATGGAGAATGATAAATAAGCAAAATAAATAAATAAACAAAAAATAAGTAGCATGATCCTATAGTGCCACTCAGGGGCTGCAGATTTGGCTCTACCAACAGAATCCTACAAGATCTACAGTAAATTCTAAAAGGTTTCTGATATTCAATTGCTTAATTATAGCAGCAAAAATATTTCCACTATACCAATTCCATTATTTTAGGTACAGAAAGGCTATGAGTACCATTCAGCGTGGTTCTCAAAACAAATTCCTGAACTAGTGCCTTGGGTTTTTTTGCATCCCAACTGGATTGGTGAAGCCAGCCAGCTTGATCTACCCTTAAAACAAAGGAAGCTAAAATACAGTCCTGAGCAAGGCAACTGGAGAATTATTTGACTCTGTTACTTGCTATTACAGTAAACTTCTGTATTAACCCCCAAATCATGCCTAAACAAACTGGATCTTGGGCTAGTCCAGATCCCCAGTAAGTCAGCCTCTTCCTGACATCCAAAATCCTTTGTGCAGATTGCATGTGCCAAAGAAGAAAGTTAACACAAATTAGAATGCTGGAATTTTTACACAGGCACTGCACAACAAAGCATCCGATTTTAGATTACGCTGCAATCCTAAAACTACTTATTTGAAACCAAATCCAGTACAATATACTGTACTTTCAAAAAAATTGTGCTCAGCACTGAGTTATTAATGATCCTAAGCATTCCTCCTTGCTAATAACGCCCCCCAGATTAGTAAGACTGTTGATATGTAATTATGCACATTCTGAACTACATGTTACTTTTAAAAACCTTAACTCGATAATAGTATATAAGTAAATGGGTGGTTCCAAAAATACAGTAAACTTATTGTACAAAGGTTTGCCAATATATATGAACAACAGAGATATGATAATTGTAGGCTTACTTGCCTTTGTGATCAATAAAAACATAACCATCAAAGCGATCCCTGAACAGAACTATGTCTTCTTGGTTTTTAAAGTTGATGTATGCTCTGGAAAACATGTGAGGATACAAACTGCAGAAGGACAAAAAATGGCAATGTTTAAGAAAACGTTGCTGAGTGGTGATTATAAATATACACAACGCGGAAGGGTGTAAAAACTGAAAGACAGACATGACATGCCATTGTTACATGCAACACAATCAACCTCCCTTTTACCTAGAGTCATTTGAAAAGAATTCAAAATAGTCATGCTCTGGCAGTGGCTGGAGATGTTCTTCAAGTTGTTCCTTGGTCAAGCTGGGAGGAAGGCGTCGAATCACTACCTTAAAGAAAAATGTTCCATCCTTTACAACAGGTGAAACCAAAGCATTTTATTAAAAAAACGTAACTTTTATAATTTTTTCAAAAGAAATATTAAAGCAAACTATCAAATAAAGTACTTTAATTATAGCCACACATTTCCTCTCCTCTTTTATGTATAATAAAAATTAACTGCAGATGCCAACAGGCCAGTGACAAAAGCATTCATCCACAAGATTTTTTTTTGAGAATGGTACTACAGAATCCTTCCTGGACCTAAAAGCTTAATCTATATTTTTTCTACATCAACGTTTTTAAAATTGGCATTCCTTCCCCCCCACCCTAGCTGAAACACACACTCAGCATGTAAAAGGCTCCAGAAACGACTGCTGCTTCGGTATCCAAGTTTCATCTACGTGACATTTTATTAAATGTTGTCCTTAACCCACTGCTCCGAATCTGGAAATGTTTAGTTTGGGTCAACCAGGAACTAAACTGAGTATCTGGCTGGGTGCTGCAAATATATGTTTTCAAGAAACTGTCGACCAGGGTTCCCAAAGTGGTTAATATAGACCCCCAGGGGTCGATGGGATGATCCATCATTGTTGTTGTTGTTGTTATTTGTAGCACTATTAGTTGAAATAGTATTTATTAAATTATTTTCATATAATACAAGCTTGAGGGTCGATGAACAGGCTGAAACTTCTCGGAGGGGTCGATGAGCTGAAGAGTTTGGGGACCGATGGCTGGTGTGGGTCTTCTGGGCTGTGTGGCCGTGTTCTGGAAGTTTTGGTTCCTAACGTTTCGCCAGCATCTGTGACCGGCATCTTCAGAGGCAATTTGGGGACCCCTGCTGCAGACCGTCCTTGAGAAGCTGCAGGCTGGTTGGGAAACCCCCAACACGGTGGGTGCCCAGGAGAGGAAAGGGACCGTAGTTTGGCAGAGGCATGACAGCCGCGGCTCCACGGACCCCGCTTGCAGGAAGCAGCCTCTCCTGCCAACCACAGGCCATGGTTTGTTTGCAAAACGTGCAGTTGCGACATCCTCAGCTCACTAAGAATGGGTGCGCGTTGAGCCAGCCCCATAAAGGGTTATACCATTAAAGGGTTATACCATTTACGGCTACCGGTGGGGGGAGGTCTGGGCTCTCTGACCTACCGAAGGTAGAATAATAACAACAGCCACAAAGATAGTACAG